GTGGTACCAAATTCGATAAGTATAACAATATAAATTCTTGGGTTTACAAAAGATTTACAGAAGCTCGTTCTGCAAAACAGCTAGTAACTACTCGAACGCTACAAGAATGGGCTATGGCAGCTGCATTCCAATGTATAAACTTGCAGTTTTCTTTCAAGGCGTCGAAAAGCTGGATAAAGAAGTTTAAGAAAAATTATAAAATAAAACAACGACGTGTAACGAAATACGCTAGCAAGAGAGACACAGAAACATTTGAAGAAACAATTAAAGCGGCAGATCGATTCCAAAAAGAAACAGCGGATATCATTCAAAATTACGATTTGAATTTCGTTATAAATACAGATCAAACTGGATGTGAATATCGTGTCAATATAAATCGCACCTTATCTTTTAAGGGAGAAAAATTAACGGAAGTGTATGTAAAAGACGTATCAAAAGTGACACACTCATATACTGCACAATATGCAATAACGGCTGCAGGAAAATTAATTCCGAAAGTCTTCTTGTGTCTACAGGAAAGAAATGGACAATTTGGACTGAAAGTTAATGAAGAAATCTCTTTATTATGTGAGAAATTTAAAAACGTTTACGTGTGCGCGACAAAATCGGGAAAAATGCAAAAGGATACATACGAATTATTTTTGAACAATATTATAGCACCATATGTAAGCGACAAGAAGTTTTTATTTATTGTAGATTCGTGGAGTGACCAAACAAATCCAGCAATATACGAGCAAAAATTCAAAGACGAAAATGGACAACAAACATGTTGTCTAAAGGTGATACCACCAAAATGTACTCCTATGTGCCAACCATGTGATGTTTACTTTCATAGACAAATAAGAAATTATATTTCTCGTTTTCAAAACTATCATGAACTTTTTGTGATCGGTCGAGAACTCTCTAGCCGATCTGACTGCATTAAACTGCATGCGCTTATACATAATCAGTTACAAGCACCAGTTTATAAAAATATGATAGAGTACGCATGGTGGGCGTCAAAATTAATTTCAAAACGAGAAATATTTTGTAATGTTAATCAAGTTGCTTTCCCAGAGAGAACAAAAATTTAATAAGAAAACAAAAGTGTGTACAAGAAACAAGCATTTGTAGTGTGTGTTCATGGTGTAAGAACTATTTGTGCTTTGAGTGCATGTACGATCTGTACCATTCTATCGTCATGCACATTATTACACGTTGGTGGATAGAATTAAGTTTTAATAATAAACATAAGGACGAAAAAGAAAAAACTATATGTATAGTGGAAGATTCGATCGCGCGACGTGCTGGGAAACGAGCGACTCACCCCACTGCACCACTGTGGCACCAAGGAAAACAGCAGACAATACTGTACATAATCCTGGTATGTAAATTTAATTATTTATATCTCGCAAAGTATTGATTGTCTACACCTAATATTTAACGTACATCAATCTGGACATATGTACTACTATCCTACAAAAAATCATAAAGATCGCAGTCGACAAGGTCGGAGCTTTCACTTATAAGACCTTTCTAAGAATCAGTCGAAACGTACGATGAATAATAATTATCAGAAAAATACACGGAACAGTCTAAAATATTGTCGACTGCTTCTGAAGGTAATCGGTGTCTGGCCGTTGATAAACGGCTACCACGGCGTAATCGAGAGAATCGTCTCGATGATACTATTAGCAACGTGTCTAGGCAGTTCGTTGTTTACGCTGCTGCCGACGATGTACTACTGCTTTTTCCACGTGAAACAGATCGACGAGCGGATCACGATTTTTGCGCCTATCTGTTACAGTACTTCGTGCATAATGAAGTTTTGTTATCTCTGTTCGAAATCAACCGAGTTGAAGGATTGCATCGAACAGATGGAAGAAGATTGGAAATCGATAGAAACCGTGGAGCACCAGACCATCATGCTCGAAAAATTAGCTATCGCTAATAAATCGACCCTCGCGTTTACGATTCTCATGTACACCAACATCGTGTGCTATATCACCGTTTTACCCTTATTTTCGTCCCCGTGGTCTGTGGCCACTAATGCCACTGAGGGTGTGAAACCATTGCTTTTCCCCTGGTTTGACTTGTTTATTGATGACATTTACTCGGCACCTACTTACCAAATGGTATACAGCGCGCACTGCGCTTTCTCGTGTCTCTCCGTAGGCGTAGAGACAGCCTTGTGCGGTATAATGTCAACCTTCGTCGGTCATGCTCGCGGAATGCTTCAGATTCAAATGGCACTGTTGGAAGACATGGTTGTAAATGCGAAGAATAACAAGGAGAAAAGTCTCTTACCTCTTATCGTCAGTAATCACGTTGGGATATTAACGTAAGTCTATCACTTTATCGTTCGATTCTTATTTCACATAGCAAAACTGATTACTTCTGCCTCGCTGGTTCCACGATATAGCAATTTTCTACTTATATCTGTAAATATTTTTAGATACGCGAAACGCGTCGCGTATGCGATGCAAGAGATATGTTTTTTGGAAGTAACGACCACGACTCTTCTTATATGCACGATGGAATATCTTTCTATTATGGTAAACGGCATTAGTGTTTAGCAGTTCTAGATTGCGTATGCACTTAATTAAGTACATGATTTCCTTTAGGCGTGGAGAGACGTTGATTTGATAGCGCTCGGAACATACATTGGAACGTGGATTTCGATGACTCTGAATATGTTCGTAATTTGTCACGCAGGCGATCTTCTTGTCGAAGAGGTGTCGTACGGTTTTCAACGATCCGCACTTACGTCCCTTTCGAGAGCAACAAAATTAATTATTCTCTCAATAGGGCGAAAAATTTGGTGAAGCGACTTACAATATACAATGGTACAACCTACCAGAAAAGAAGGCCCAGGACTTAATAATTCTGATTGGTATATCGAGATATCCGCCGAAACTTATGGGTGGGAAGATATTCGAAATATCAATAGACACATTCAGCTCTGTACGTAAACATTAAATATAAATCATAATCCGATGACACAAATAACAGGCTTAAACAAGAATCGAAATTCTACAGGTGATTAGATCATCGTTTGTGTATTTGAATTTGTGTCAAACTGTTGCCGAATGACTGTTTCTGATTAGAGATTATTTCTCTCTCGTTTCCAAATAATGTTGGCTTTTTAGAAAACGGATAAACAAATTTTGAAAGTTATAAATTGTTTGCAGAAAGAGAAAATATTTCCAATGCGCGATGGTTGTAGTTAACTATTTCAGTAGAGCATTCAGGTATATTCGTTTTTTCGCCAATATGTTTGCGAGCTCAATTTATAACTAATATACATACACTTTTGGGTNAACGAACACTCTTGCATAATACTAGCTTTCCGTCTGTTGCATTCACCTTTACCTCAAACAGTTGGGTGTATAGCACGATCGCACCGGTTAGTTTCCACTGTACTTCGAAGCGGTCGCTTTTTCTAACAAGTACTGATCGATTTGCAACACTAATCGTACAGCTGCACGTACTCGCCAGCGCAAGCTCAATACCCCCGTAATCAATTCTACATCGTAACCAGTCGTTTTCGAGCTGTCAATGAACATGCATGGATGCTCCCTTCACTATCGGACCGATCAATCGCGGAACCTGAACTACGAGCAAGTTTTCTTTTACATGACGAAACATAATAAATGGATCCTCAATTCCATCGGCATCTGGCCGGCCGTGTTAATTAGGGATCGGCAAATATTTACCGAATATCGCGATCGTAATTAGTAATTTGATATTGTCCTTCACTCTTCTACAATGCATTCTGCACATTGTCTTCGAGCAGAAGAACCCATTGCTAAGACTGAAGATTTTAGGCCTGACCGCTTTCTCCTTCATTTCCATGCTGAAGTATTGGGCTCTCACGCTGCGTAAAAATAAGATTAAGCGTTGCATCGAACAATTGCGAACTGATTGGAAGCAGGTCAGTCGAGAAACGCTTTTGTTGTTTAAGAGTGTCGTTAAGAAAATTTCAGTACCATTCCGATAGGTAGAATTACGTGAAGATCGTGACCTGATGCTGAGATACGGAAAAATCGGCCGAAATCTGTCCGTATCCAGCGTGGTGTTCATGTACGCCGGCGGTATAATCTATCACACGATCCAGCAGTACAGTGTCGGGTCATACGTTGACGAGAATAATCGTACAATCAAGTTGTTGATTTATCCAACTTATAGCGGTCTCTTGGATGTCCAGAAAAGCCCCGTTTACGAATTGGTATACGTTCTCCAGTGTGTCTGCGGATACGTGTTCGACACCGTGACAGCCAGCGTTTGTGGACTTGCCGCGCTGTTTGTGACGCATGCCTGTGGACAGATCGACATCGTTATGGCTCGATTGAACGATCTGGTAGATGGAAAACTAGCCAGGGAGATCTCAAATCCGCATACACGACTGATGGAAATCGTGGAGCGTCACATGAAAGTTTTAAGGTACGCGTATTAGGCATCGAGGTAAAACTGAATACTGTGTTTATCGTTGATGAAAATGTATACGATGTCACAGATTTTCTACGACAGTCGAGGCAGTCTTAAGTGAAGTGTGCTTTTTAGAATTCGTCGGTACTACTTTCGTGATATGCCTTCTCGAGTTTTATTGTTTAACGGTATGCTTCCAGTTTCCATGTATGTTTTCGTAAATTTACCATTTTATTGTGCCTGTCATAGGATTGGAGACAGAACGACATAATTAGTCTAATAACGTACACGTTACTGTTAATATCCTTGACGTTTAATATATTCTTATTGTGCTACATTAGTGATCTTTTAATAGAAAAGGTATCTTTTTTACCAAATCAGTCATTTGTCTCTTTAATATAATGAACATATAAGGATACTCAGTAGATTTTCGTTTCTTACTTACGAAACGCAGAGTACTAACGTTGGAAAATCCTGCTGCATGATTGATTGGTACGAATTACCCAACAGTACGATTCGAGGGCTCATCTTAATAATCGCCATATCGAAAAATCCAGCAAAAATCACTGCTGGTAACATAGCTGACTTATCTTTAAGTACTTTTGCTAATGTGAGTTTCTGCAAATGTTTGTGAGAACTTAAGTTACATACTTCGAATTTCATCTCCTTGCAGCTAAAACCAATTACGTTTATAGATTCTCAAGACGTCGTTCGCGTATTTAAATTTTCTGCAGACTGCTACGGTGTAACAATTTAACAATTTACAACTCAACAGGAAATAAATAAATGCATTTTTAAAAACGTCTCTTAGCACTTAAATGTTTATCAACTTGCGTTTGTACAATTATGCGAACGTAATATATAAATTCGAAACGCAATAAACATTTCATCAATAACGAAGTATAAGATAATGATCGTTAAGAACATTATACTTAAGAGAAAAAGGAATCGGAGTCATCACGAATAATACTAATTGAGGTTTAATCGAGAAAATACAAGTTTTCCAGTATCACAACGTCTCACGTTCGCAAATGTTGTTTGACTTATTTTCGCTTATGCGAGCAGCACCAGTTTGCATGTTTCGGCGCATACATATTCGAGATACTTAATCAATACACACGCGTTCATTCGTATCCCTCATACTGTCTTCCTCTCTCTCTCTCCTTTTTATACCATAGAAAACGTTTAATCGTCGCACACTCATTGCTACTCTTTAAGCCACTTCTGTGTACAACCGTAAAACTCCATATTCTATAGAATCACCTGCTCGGTTTCCCTATAATTACGTTCGCCCCTTCTCGGATGAGTAATAATTGATACCGAACTGCGCAAGGGGATGCAAACACACACGTTACCACCAACACAACAATCTTGCAATGCATGCAACACTGTCTTTTAAATAGTCGCTTGCGAGCCGTCCGCGAAGATGCATCTCATTGCGCAAGATCAGACAAGTTATAATCCGGGAAATAAAAATTACAAACAAGATATCGTTTTCGTAACTAAACATATCAAATGGATTCTGAGTCTTATTGGCATTTGGCCATCCGTTTCTAAAGGTGTCGCGAAATTTTTACCGAAAATTGCTATCGGAATTGGTAACTTCGCGCTTCTTTTTGCTATAATACCGTGTTTCCTACACACCGTGTTTGAAGTGGAAGATACTGTAATGAAATTAAAGCTCCTGGGTTTAGTCGGTTTCTGTACGTCCTCGTTGCTCAAGTACTGGGCCCTTGTCGCACGGAAACCAACGATCGAGGATTGCATTGAACTGGTGCAAATTGATTGGATGCAGGTCAGTTAATATCACATTGTATGACATTGTGTTCGTACAGATTTTTCGCTTCGTAGATGTTCAACTATATGAGATATATTATTGTAATAAAAAGATTCAGTGTTTTAATAAGGGATACAACAGGTAGAATTTCCTAAGGACCGGGAGTTGATGTTAAAATACGGTCAAGTGGGTCGGAATCTGACGATCCTCTGTGTCACGTTCATGTATACCGGCGGAACAATTTTCCACACGGTCTTGCAATATACGATCGGCACGTTCATCGACCAGCATAATCGTACTATCAAGCCGTTGGTCTATCCGACTTACTCTGTTCTGTACGACGTGCAAACAAGTCCCATTTACGAAATAGTCTATATCATTCACTTTATGTGCGGCCACGTAACGAGTACTGTAGCAGCAGGTTCATGCGGATTAGCTGCGCTTTTCGTGACGCACGCCTGCGGACAAATTGATGTCGTTGTGTCCCATTTGACCGATCTCGTACATAGTGAACAGAATGAAAAAACATCGATTCTTAATAGACGTTTCGTGCAAATCATTGACCACCACTTACGAATTTTGAGGTAAAACTTTTTGGTACACAGATTTTTATTTACGGAAAATTTATGTTGAACAATTACAGGTTTTCAGCAGCGGTAGACTTCATATTGCGAGAAATATGTTTAGTGGAACTTGTTAATTCCACTTGCTGTATATGTTTACTTGAATATTATTGTATCGCAGTAAGTTTCTTGGTGATAGAACGTGGGAGACGCAATTCTATGATTTTATATTAATGACAGGATTGGGAACAAAGTAATACGACTAGTCTTATAACTTACATGATGCTGTTAATATCGCTCACATTCAATGTATTAATACTATGCTATATTGGGGACCTCTTGATAGAAAAGGTATATTTTCACATTGTATTAAGAGGTACAATGTCACGTGCAAATGAGAGTCTTTAATTTCGTGCATCTGAACGGCGTTGACTTGTACTACTTGAATGTCTGACAGATATATATGATTAAGTTACTTCACTTGAATGTCTGTCATGTTAGCTCTACTATTTTATTCTGCTGCATATTTGACTGACTAGTTTCACTTTGTCTGACAGACCAGCAGCGTGGGTCAGTCTTGCTTTATGATCGACTGGTACAACTTACCTAGTAAAACGATACAAGGACTCGTTTTAATCATAGCTATGTCGGGTAGTCCAGTTAAAATTAGCGCCGGTAGCATTGTCGATTTATCGTTATCTACTTTTGCCAACGTAAGTTTCTATTTACGTTAACACTTTTGTAATAAAAGAGAAACTGCAAAATTGTAGTTCTTGTAAAATCTTTTTTATAGATTCTTAAAACATCGGTAGCCTACTTAAATTTCCTACGGACTACCGTTACATGATTAATCTTAACTGTTTCACTATGTTTATGGTACATGTAGAAAGAAAATGTAGAATAAATATGTTAAGATATTAGTTCATTGTAATTACGCGATGTATGCATGTACCAATGTTTGATTGTAAAATTTCTTATAATCGCACATTCATTACTATTCTTTAATCCCCTTCTCTACACACCCTAAAGCTTCACTTCAATAGAATCATCTGCTCGTCTTCCCTACAGTCCCGTTCGTCCCCTTGTCTGGTGAGTAATAATTGATGCCGAGCGGCACAAAGGGTTGCACGCACACACATTATCACCGGCGCAAACTCACTGACCTTGCAATCAATGCTACTCTCTTTTAAACAGTTGCTTTCGAGCCGTCCGCGAAGATGCACCTCTTTGCGCAAGATCAGACGGATTACAATGCGGGAAATCGGAATTACAAACGAGACATCGTCTTCGTAACCAAATATAGCAAATGGATTCTAAGATCTCTTGGCATCTGGCCATCCGTTCTTAAAGGTGCGGCGAGATTTTTGCCGAAAATTGCTATCGGAATTGGTAACTTCGTGCTTCTCTTCGCTATAATACCGTGTATCCTGCACATCATGTTTGAAGAAAAAGACACTATAATAAGACTGAAGCTCTGCGGCTTACTGAGTTTCTGCATATCCTCGTTGCTCAAGTACTGGGCCCTTACCGCACGTAAACCGAAGATCCAGAATTGCATCGAACAGGTGGAAACCGATTGGATGCAGGTCAGTTGATATCACAATCATCGGTTAAAGTAGAACATCGCGTGTGTACACATTTTTGCCCACGTAGATATTTAACTATACAAGGTATAAATACTATGAAAATAAAAATATTCTGTGTTTCGATAAGGGATGCGATAGGTAGAACTTCCTAAAGATCGTGAGATGATGTTAAAGTACGGTCAAGTGGGTCGGAATCTGATGATCATCTGCGCCGCGTTCATGTACAGCGGCGGTACAATATACCACACGATCATGCAATACGCGATCGGCACGTTCATCGACGAGCATAATCAAACCATCAAGCCGTTGGTTTATCCGACTTACTCTGTTCTTTTCGACGTGCAGACAAGTCCCGTTTACGAAATAGTCTATATCGTTCACTGTATGTGCGGGTACGTGATGTATTCTATAACAGTCGGTGCTTGTGGATTAGCCGCGCTTTTCGCGACGCACGCCTGCGGACAGATTGATATCGTTGTGTCGCATTTGAACGATCTCGTGGACAGTAAAACAGTCGAAACAACAACGATTTTGGACACGCGATTCGTAGCAATCATTGAGCACCATTTGCAAATTTTAAGGTACATTTTTTAACCCTTTCGCTACGGGCGGGTTCTCCGCCGCGGTACTCCCGCTGAACGGCTATAGTCGCCCGTAGTACGTCAGTGGTATTTTATACAGAGCAACTATACTCGCCCATATTAGCGAATGGGTTAATAGACAAATTTTCATCAAAATGATCGCTAGATTACGAATTTCATGGATTTATATAAAAATGGAATGTGCAGAAAACATAATGGATTTTGAACGATTACAGGTTTACGGCAAAAGTAGAAATGATATTACGTGAAGTATGCTTCGTGGAGTTTGTTAGTTCCACTTTCATGATATGCTTACTGGAATATTATTGTATTACGGTAAGTTTTTCGGAACGAGGCAGACGTGATTCTATGATTTGATATTGATAACAGGACTGGGAGCAAAGTAATACGATTGGCCTTACAACTTATACGATGCTGTTAATATCCTTGACATTTAATATATTTATACTATGCTATATTGGTGATCTCTTGATGGAAAAGGTAAATTTTCACGTTTTACTACGAGATGCAACAGCAGGTATAAAAGGGAGACTAACAAAGGGAGGGCCTGGTGGACGAGAAACGGATTTTGATAAAACTTGCAGTACTTAAAGATGTCGTATCCAAGTTTAATTTGGTAAAGTAATAGGACACCATTCTCAGAATTTTCCGAAAAAATTGCATTTGAAAATTGATTTACTGGGTTAAGAGCACTTCGCGTTAACCAATGAGACTGCTTTTTTTTGTATAAGAAAGTTTTTATTGAGTCAGGTACAATATTGTAACAATAATAATATAAAAACTTTACGAAAGCTCGTTGTTTCAATGGTTAACGCGAAGTGCTCATAACCCAGTAAATCAATTTTCAAATGCAGTTGTCTCGGAAAATTCTAAGTATGGTGCCCTATTACTTTACCAACTTAAACTTGGGTACGACATCTTTAAGTACTGCAAGTTTTATCAAAATCCGTTCCACCAGGCCCTCCCTTTGTAAGCCTGACGAGAGAGGGGTGTTGACTTGTACTACTTGAGTGTCTGTCTTGTTAACGTATGTATATTACTTTATTCTCCTTTATGTTTCACTCTGTATTTGACAGACCAGTAGCGTGGGTATGTCTTGCTTTATGATAAACTGGTACAACTTACCGAGTAAAACTATACAAGGACTCGTTTTAGTCATAGCTATGTCGGGTAGTCCAGCTAAAATTACCGCCGGTAGCATTGTCGATTTATCGTTAGCTACTTTTGTAAATGTAAGTTTCTGTTTACGTTAAAATTATTGTAATGAAAGAATGACGAAGTTATAGCTCTGATGGATAATCTTAACATCATAATCTTTGTACAGGTTCTTAAAACATCGTTGGCCTATTTAAGTTTCCTACGAACGACCATTATATGACTGATCTTAACTGTTACATTATTGTTATACTACATGTAGAAAGAAAATATAGAAAGAAATTTTTAAGAGATTGCCTCGTAGTAATTATGTGATGTATGCATGTATAAATATTTGATCATAAGATCCGGAAGCCTCCATAAAGAAAAAGCTGGGTAATGTTATAATTTATCAACGCACCTCAGCAATTCACACCGTTCGACCGTTCGTGCTTCCCTATATTCTCTTGTAGAAGTCCTAATGTCGCAAAATTCAAATGCATGATTGAATGGTACGAATTACCCAACAGCGCAATGCAACGATTGATCTTAATTATCACCATCTCAAATAATCCAGCTGCACAGCTGACCTGTACTTAAGTACTTTCGCAAGTGCGATTTTCCACTGTATGTAAGAATGTCATCACAAGTGAAAGTTTTTACACTTAAAGGATCCGAAGGTATCTGTCGCGCATTTAAATTTCCTCCGTACTTGTACGTTGTAACGATCTCTCTTAACGTATTGATAACTTGTAGGCCAAAAGTAAATGAATAAATGCACTTCTAAATATATCTCCTGCTACTTTGGTGATTATTAAAATTATTAATTCGAGCATAGAAAGTTAAATCTGAGCACAATGTAGAAATTCAAAAGAAACACTTTTTCAATAATGAGGATTTCTTCGCACACTCATTTCATCGCACACTCATTGCTATTCTTTAAGCCTCTTGTCAGTGCAACCCTAACGCTCCCAACTCTATAGAATCACCTGCACGGTTTCCCTATAATTACGTTCGTCCCCTTCTCGGATGAGTAATAATTGATACCGAGAAACAGAAAGGGTTGCACGCACACACATTATCACCGGCATAAGCTCACTGACCTTGCAATCAATAGGGCTACACTGTCTTTGAGACAGTCGCTTTCGTGCCGTCCGCGAAGATGTACCTCTTTACGAGAGATCAAATGGGTCATAAGCCGGGAAACCGGAATTACGAACAAGACATCGTTTTCATAACCAAGCATAACAAATGGGTTTTGAAATTTATTGGCATCTGGCCATTCGTTCCTAAAGGTATCGCAAGATTTTTGACGAAAATTATTATCGGAATATGTTACATCGTGCTTTTCTTCGCTATAATGCCGTGTATCCTATACATGGTCTTTGAAGAAGAAGATACTGTAACGAATTTGAAGCTCATGGGTGTAATGAGTTTCACCGTGTCCGCTTTGCTCAAGTACCGGCTCCTCACCGCTCGGAAACCGGTGATCAAGGATTGCATCGAACAGGTGTACATTGATTGGATACAGGTCAGTTAATGTCTAAGTCATCGGTTAAGTGTAACATAGCATTCGTACAGATTTTTCGCTACGTCGACGTTTCACTATACGAGGTATATTGTTGAAATGAAATGATTCAGTGTTTTAATAAGTAATACCATAGGTAGAAATTCCTAAGGATCGGCAGTTGATGTTAAAGTACGGTCAAGTGGGTCGGAATCTGACGATTTTCTGTTCTGTGTTCATGTACAGCGGCGAAGTACTTTACTACTTGATCTTGCCATACGCTATCGGCACGTTCATCGACGAGCATAATCGAACCATCAAGCCAGTGATTTATCCTACTTACTCTGTTCTATTTGACGTGCAGACAAGTCCCACTTATGAACTGACTTATATCATGCATTTTATGTGCGGATGCGTGACGAATACCATAACAGCCGGTACTTGCGGATTAGCTGCGCTTTTTGTGACGCACGCCTGCGGACAAATTGATGTCATTCTGTCCCACTTGAACGATCTTGTGCATAATGAATACATTCAAAAAACATCGATTCTGGATAGACGTTTCATGAACATCATCGAGCATCATTTACGAATTTTACGGTAAAACTTTTTATCAACACACGTTTTTATTAAGTGATTTCCAATTTATGGAAAATTTATGTTCAACGATTACAGGTTTTCGGCAGCGGTAGACTTCATATTGCGAGAGATATGTTTAGTGGAACTTGTTAGTTCAACTTGCATTATATGTTTACTTGAATATTATTGTATTACGGTAAGTTTTTACTGCTGTGACAAACCGAGAGAGGCGCGGCTCTATGATATTACATTGATTGACAGGATTGGGAACAAAGTAATACGATTAGTCTCACAACTTATACGGTGCTACTAGTATCGTTGACATTTAATATATTTATACTATGCTATATCGGTGATCTCTTGATGGAAAAGGTATATTTTCACGTTATACTAGGAGACACGTGCAAATGAAAGGCCTCAATTTTCTATTTTTCTATGTCAGTAGGGAGGGCCGCGTTGACATGTACTACTTAATCATCCATCAAATGAACATGATTTAGTTATTCTACTTGAATATCTCTCTTATTAACATATATTAATTCATTCTAATGTATGATTCACTGACTACTGTAATTTTGCGTCTGACAGACCAGTAGCGTGGGGCAGTCTTGTTTTATGATCGAATGGTACAACTTACCTCGTAAAACGATACAAGGACTCGTTTTAGTCATAGCTATGTCGGATAGTCCAGCTACAATTAGCGCCGGTAGCATTGTCGATTTATCGTTATCTACCTTTCTCAATGTAAATTTCTATTTACGTTAACATTTTTGTGATAAAAAACAGCAAAATTATAGGTCTGGCAGACTATTCTACTAATTGTAAGAGCAAAATTTTTTGTACAGGTTCTTAAAACGTCGGTGGCCTATTTAAATTTTCTCCGGGCTACAGTTACGTAATTGACTCTCTGTCTATTCACGGTTTTTATAGTACTTGTAGAAGAAAATATAAAAAGACATTTTCAAGATATTGTCTGGTACTAATTATGCGATGTGTGCATGTACAAGTGTTTGATCATAAGAGCTCGAAGCCACCGTAAAGAAAAAGCTGCAGGTAATTTTTTAATCTGTCAGCGCACCAGCCCAAACACATCGTGTAACCGTTCAGGTTCTGTATCTTCCTTCGTAAAAGTACTGACGTGGGAGAATTCAACTACACGATCGACTGACACGAATTACTCGAGAACTCACCCACCAAGGATTAATGCTGCATAGCTGACTTCTTTTAATGTATTTCCGCATGTGTGATTTTCTAGAAATGTTTCAAATGAACGTAAGAAGTTTTACATATTCACAGGTCAAAGGCAATTCGAGCGTTTATGGGTTCTTAAGTCGTCTTTCACGCATTTGTCTTTTCCTCAGACTGGTAAGGTGTAACGATCTTTCTTAATATATGTATACATAACTTGTAAGCCAATAGTAAATAAATAAATGCAATTCGAAAAATACCTCCTGTCACTTTGATGATTATTAAGTTGCGTGTATAAATTTAAATGCGAGCACTTTATAGAAATACATAACAAAAGAAACATTTCTTCAATGATGAAGATCTCTTCGCACATTCATTTCATCGCACACTCATTGCTATTCTTTAATCCCGTTCTGTGTACAACCCCAAAGATTAAAACTCTATAGAATCACCTGTTCGCTTTCCCTACAATTACGTTTATCCCTTCTTTGATGAGTAATAATCGATACCGCGCGGCAAAAAAGGGTTGCATGCACACACATTATCGCCAGCGCAAGCTCACTGACCTTGCAATCAATACGGCTACACTGTCTTTGAGACAGTCGCTTTCGAACCGTACGCGAAGATGCACCTCTTTACGCAAGATCAGATGGGTCATAAGCCGGGAAATCGGAATTACGAACAAGACATCGTTTTCATAACCAAGCATAATAAATGGCTTTTGAAATCTATTGGTATTTGGCCATCCGTGCTTAAAGGTGCTGCAAGATTTTTACCGAAAATTATTATCGGAATATTTACCTTGGCGCTCTGCTTTGCTATAATACCCTGTATCCTATACATTGTATTTGAAGAAAGAGATAGTGTAATGAAATTGAAGCTCACGGGTTTACTAAGTTTCACTGTGTCCTGTTTATTCAAGTACTGGTTCCTTTCCGTACAGAAACCGAAGATCGAGGATTGCATCGAACAGGTGCAAATTGATTGGAAACAGGTCAGTTAATGTCTAAGTCATCGGTCAAATATAACATAGTGTTCGTATAGATTTTTCGCTACGTCGATCTTTCACTATACGAGATATATTGTTGAAATAAAAAGATTCAGTGTTTTAATAAGTAATACCACAGGTTGAATTTCCTAATGATCGGGAGTTGATGTTAAAGTATGGTCAAGTGGGTCGGAATCTGACGATTTTCTGTTCTGTGTTCATGTGCAGCGGCGAAATATTTTACTCCTTGATCTTGCCATACGCAATCGGCACGTTCATCGACGAGCATAATCGAACCATCAAGCCAGTGATTTATCCTACTTACTCTGTTCTATTCGACGTGCAGACAAGTCCTATTTACGAAATAGTCTATACCGTTCATGTTATATGCGGGTACGTGTCGAGTAGTATAACAGCCGGTACCTACGGATTAGCTGCGCTTTTTGTGACGCACGCCTGCGGACAAATTGATATCGTTGTGTCTCATTTGAGCGATCTCATACATAATGAACACATTAAAAAAACATCGATTCTGAATCGACGCTTTAAACAAATCATTGAGCACCACTTACGAATTTTAAGGTGGAACTTCTTTTATTCTAGTGATCTCTAATTTATGGAAGATTTTAGTCGTTTGATTACAGGTTTTCGGCAGCAGTAAACTTCATGTTGCGAGAAATATGCTTAGTGGAACTCGTTTGTTCCACTTGTAATATATGTTTACTTGAATACTATTGCCTTACGGTAAGTTTCTTGGTGAGATAGAACGGGGGAGACACAATTCTATGATTTGATGTTGATGACAGGATTGGAAAGAAAGTAATACGATTGGCCTTACAACTTATACGATGCTGTTAATATCCTTGACATTTAATATATTTATACTATGCTACATTGGCGATCTCTTGATAGAAAAGGTATATTTTCCCCTTTTAATACGAGACACAATGGCAGGTATAAAAGGGAGAAAATTGTCTCATTCTGACGAGAAAGCGGCATTGACTTGTACTATAATACTTGAGTGTCTGTGTATGATTCAGTTATTTTACCTGAATATCTGTCTTGTTGATGTATCTATATTACTTTATTCTCCTGTATGATTGACTGACTAGTTTCACTTTATTTCTGACAGACCAGCAGCATGGGTCAGACTTGCTTTATGCTCGACTGGTACAATTTACCTGGTAAAACGATACAAGGACTCGTTTTAATCATAGCTATGTCGGGTAGTCCAGCTAAAATTACCGCCGGTAGTATCGCTGATTTATCGTTATCTACTTTTGTAAATGTTAGTTTTTAAATTTTTGTAACAAAAGAACGACAAAATTATAGTTCTAGCAGATCATCTTGCTAATTGTAAGAGCAAAATTTTTTGTACAGGTTCTTAAAACGTCGGTGGCCTATTTAAATTTTCTTCGGGCTACAGTTACGTAATTGATTCTCTGACTACTCATTATTTTTATAGTGCTTGTAGAAAGAAAATATAAGAAGACATTTTCGACATACTGTCGGCTACTAATTATGCGATGTGTACATGTACAAATGTTTGATCATAAGAGCTCGAAGCCACCGTAAAGAAAAAGCTGCAGGTAATTTTTTAATCTGTCAGCGTACCAGCCCAAACACATCGTGTAACCGTTCAGGTTCTGTATATTCCTTCGTAGAGGTACTGACGTACTACGTCTACTACGACGTAGAGGACTACGTACACGTGGGAGAATTCAACTACACGATCGACTGACACGAATTACTCGAGAACCTGTACAGCAAGTATTAATACCTAGCTGACTTCGTTCTATGTATTTCCGCAAGTGTAATTTTCTACAAATGTTTCAATTGAACTTGAGAAGTTTCACATATTCACAGGTCCAAGGCAATTCGGGCGTTTATGCGTCCTTCATGCGGTTCTGGTAAGGTGTAACGATGTTTCTAAATATATTCATAACTTGTGGGACAATAGTAAATAAATAAATGCAATTCTAAAAATACCTCCTGTCACTTTGATGAAAGTTAAATGCGAGCACTTTACAAAAATACATAACAAAAGAAACACTTCTTCAATGATGAAGATCTCTTCGCACATTCATTTCATCGCACACTCATTGCTATTCTTTAATCCCGTTCTCTGTACAACCCGAAAGATTCAAAGTCTATAGAATCACCTGTTCGCTTTCCCTATAATTACGTTCATCCCTTCTTTGAAGGGGAATAATTGATACCGCGCGGCAAAAAAGGGTTGCACGCACACACATTATCGCCAGCGCAAGCTCACTGACCTTGCAATCAATATGGCTACACTGTCTTTGAGACAGTCGCTTTCGTGCCATTCACGAGGATGCACCTCTTTACGCAAGATCAGATGGGTCATAAGCCGGAAAACCGGAACTACGAACAAGACATCGTTTTCGTAACCAAGCATAACAAATGGGTTTTGAGATCTATTGGCATTTGGCCATCCGTGCTTAAAGGTGCCGCAAGATTTTTGCCGAAAATTGTTATCGGGATTGGTAATTGCGCGCTTCTTTTTGCTATAATGCCGTGTATCCTATACATGGTCTTTGAAGAAGAAGATACCGTTACGATTTTTAAGCTTATGGGTTTAATGAGTTTCACTGTGTCCGCTTTGCTCAAGTACTGGCTCCTTTCCGCACGGAAACCAATGATCGAGGATTGCATCAAACAGCTACAAATTGATTGGATGAAGGTCAGTTAATATCACATTCATCAGTTAAAGTATAACATAGAGTTCGTACAGATTTTACTCTACGTCTACGTTTCACTATACGAGGTATATTGTTGAAATGAAAAGATTCAGTGTTTTAATAAGTAATACCATAGGTAGAAATTCCTAAGGATCGAGAGTTGATGTTAAAATACGGTCAAGTGGGACGGAATCTGACGGTCTTCTCAGCTGTGTTCATGTACAGCGGCGAAATACTTTACTACTTCATCTTGCCATACGCGATCGGCACGTTCATCGACGAGCATAATCGAACCATCAAGCCAGTGATTTATCCTACCTACTCTGTTCTGTTCGACGTTCAGACAAGTCCCACTTATGAACTGGTTTATATCATGCACTGTATCTGCGGGAACGTGTCGAGTAGTATAACAGCCGGTACCTACGGATTAGCTGCGCTTTGCGTGACGCATGCTTGCGGACAAATTGATATCGTTGTGTCCCATTTGACCGATCTCGTACATAATGACTACACTAAAAAAATACCGATTATGAATCGAAGCTTTAAGCAAATCGTTGAGCACCATCTACGAATTTTGAGGTGAAACTTTTTTATTCAAGTGATCTCCAATTTATAGAAAATTTAAGTTGTGCGATTACAGGTTTTCGGTAGCAGTAGACTCCATGTTGCGAGAAATATGCTTAGTGGAACTCGTTTATTCCACTTTCTGTATGTGTTTCATTGAATATTATTGCCTTACGGTAAGTTCCTTGGTGTCCTACAACGAGGCTGACGTGATTCTATGATTTGATATTGATGACAGGATTGGAAAGAAAGAAATACGCTTAGTCTTACAACTTATATAATACTGTTCATTTCTTTGACATTTAATATATTTATACTGTGCTACATTGGTGATCTCTTGATAGAAAAGGTATATTTTCATGTTTTAATACGAGATACAATGGCAGATATAACAGAGAGACGTTAATTATCTCATTCTGACGAGAGAGCGGAATTGACTTGTACTATAATACTTGAGTGTCTGTCAGACGTGTATGATTCAGTTATTTTATCTGAATATCTGTCTTGTTGATGTATCTATATTACTTTATTCTCCTGTATGATTGACTGACTAGTTTCACTCTATTTCTGACAGACCAGCAGCATGGGTCAGTCTTGTTTTATGCTCGACTGGTACAACTTACCTGGTAAAACGATACAAGGACTCGTTTTAATCATAGCTATGTCGGGTAGTCCAGCTAAAATTACCGCCGGTAGTATCGCTGATTTATCGTTGTCTACTTTTGTAAATGTTAGTTTTTAAATTTCTGTAACAAAAGGACGACAAAATTATAGTTCTAGCAGATCATCTTGCTGATTGTAAGAGCAAAATTTTTTGTACAGGTTTTTAAAACGTCGGTGGCTTATTTAAATTTTCTCCGGGCTACAGTTACATAATTCATTCTCTGACTATTCATTATTTTTATAGTACTTGTAGAAAGAAAATATAAGAAGACATTTTCGCGATACTGTCGGCTACTAATTATGCGATGTGTACATGTACAAATGTTTGATCATAAGAGCTCGAAGCCACCGTAAAGAAAAAGCTGCAGGTAATTTTTTAATCTGTCAGCGTACCAGCCCAAACACATCGTGTAACCGTTCAGGTTCTGTATATTCCTTCGTAGAGGTACTGACGTACTACGTCTACTACGACGTAGAGGACTACGTACACGTGGGAGAATTCAACTACACGATCGACTGACACGAATTACTCGAGAACCTGTACAGCAAGTATTAATACCTAGCTGACTTCGTTCTATGTATTTCCGCAAGTGTAATTTTCTACAAATGTTTCAATTGAACTTGAGAAGTTTCACATATTCACAGGTCCAAGGCAATTCGGGCGTTTATGCGTCCTTCATGCGGTTCTGGTAAGGTGTAACGATGTTTCTAAATATATTCATAACTTGTGGGACAATAGTAAATAAATAAATGCAATTCTAAAAATACCTCCTGTCACTTTGATGAAAGTTAAATGCGAGCACTTTACAAAAATACATAACAAAAGAAACACTTCTTCAATGATGAAGATCTCTTCGCACATTCATTTCATCGCACACTTATTGCTATTCTTTAATCCCGTTCTCTGTACAACCCGAAAGATTCAAACTCTATAGAATCACCTGTTCGCTTTCCCTATAATTACGTTCACCCTTTCTTTGATGGGTAATAATTGATACCGCGCGGCAAAAAAGGGTTGCACGCACACACATTATCGCCAGCGCAAGCTCACTGACCTTGCAATCAATATGGCTACACTGTCTTTGAGACAGTCGCTTTCGAACCGTACGCGAAGATGCACCTCTTTACGCAAGATCAGATGGGTCATAAGCCGGGAAATCGGAATTACGAACAGGACATCGTTTTCGTAACCAAGCATAACAAATGGGTTTTGAGATCTATTGGCATTTGGCCATCCGTGCTTAAAGGTGCCGCAAGATTTTTGCCGAAAATTGTTATCGGGATTGGTAACTTCGCGCTTCTTTTTGCTATAATACCGTGTATCCTGTACATCGTGTTTGAGGAAAGGGATATTGTAATGAAGTTGAAGCTGATAGGTTTAGTGGGTTTCTGTGTGACGTCGTTGCTCATGTATTTGGCCCTTATCGCACGGAAACCGAAGATCGAGGATTGCATCGAACAGGTGCAAATTGATTGGATGCAGGTCAGTTAGTATGTCATTCATCGTTTAGAGTACAACATAGCGTTCGTACATATTTTTGACGGCGTAAATACTCAACTACGAAGCATATTGTTGAAATAAAATGATTCTGTATTTTAATAAGGGATACAACAGATAGAATTTCCTAGGGATCGGGAGTTGATGTTAAAATACGGTCAAGTGGGTCGGAATCTGACGGTCCTCTCTGCTGTGTTCATGTACAGCGGCGGCATATTTTACTACACGATCTTGCAATACGCGATCGGCACGTTCATCGACGAGCATAATCGAACCATCAGGCCAGTGATTTATCCGACTTACTCTGTTCTTTTCGACGTGCAGACAAGTCCTATTTACGAAATCGTTTACACCATGCACTGTATGTGTGGGTACATGATGTATTCTACAACTGCCGGTACCTGCGGATTAGCTGCGCTTTTCGCGACGCACGCCTGCGGACAAATTGATGTTGTTGCGTCACATTTGAGCGATCTCGTACATAGTGAACATAATGAGAAAACATCGACTCTTGATAGACGTTTCGTACAAATCATTGAACACCACTTACGAATCTTAAGGTAAAACTTTTTGGTACACACATTTTTATTCAACTGATCTCCGATTTACGGAAAACTTATGTTGAACGATTACAGGTTTTCAGCAGCGATAGATTTCATGTTGCGAGAAATATGCTTAGTACAACTTGTTAGTTCAACTTGCATTATCTGTTTACTTGAATATTATTGTCTTACGGTAAGTTCCCTGCTGTGATAGAACGAGGGAGACACGATCCTATGATTTTATATTTATGTTAGGATTGGGAACAAAGGAATACGCTTAGTCTTACAACTTATACGGTGTTACTAATATCGTTGACATTTAATATATTTATACTATGTTATATTGGGGATCTCTTGATGGAAAAGGTACACTTTCACGTTTTACTACGAGACACAATGACACATGGGAATGAGAGGCTTTCATTTTGTTTGTCTGACGAGAGAGCGGCGTTGACTTGTACTACTTGAATGTCTGACAGACGTATATAAATCACTTATTTTACTTGAATGTCTGTCATGCTAGCTTATACTTTTCCTTCATGATTGTCTGACTGTATGTATATGTATAGTGTCACTTTGTGTCTGACAGACCAGTAGCGTGGGTCAGTCTTGCTTTATGATCGAATGGTACAACCTGCCCAGTAAAACGATACAAGGACTGATTTTAGTCATAGCTATGTCGGGTAGTCCAGCTAAAATTAGTGCGGGTAGTATCGCTGATTTATCATTATCCATGTTTGTAAATGTAAGTTTCTTCTTCATGTATGTAACATAAATTATAGCCCTGGCAAGTAATATTAGTAAACGCGAAACTATCTTTACAGATTCTCAAAACAACGGTGGCCTATTTAAGTATCCTCCGAACTAGCGTTATGTAATTGTTCGTTGACTATTCCACTATTTTTATAGTACATATAGAAAGAAAATAAAGAGACATTTTTTGGGGATTGTCTCGTAGTAATTATGCAAAGCCATCATTACACTCTCGCGAGACGACTCGAGAGTAACGTGCACGAGAATATAATCTTGCGTCGACCTTTGGCGTTTCAACTCTCGCATCGAAATCGGCATTTTTAGCTATCGTATTTCGTGTCAAATGAACTATTAAACTAGCTAACAAAGCCATGTTTTCGGTAGGGAGCACGGAGCACGAGTGATTTTTGCTCAATGAAATACCGATCCGATTGACCGAAAGCTCCTTTACTGGCTGGCTCTACTAACTCTGGTGTGCTGCTATTCGTTCAATCGCTCGTGCTCCCTTTCATCGTTGTGGAAGGGCACGAATAGCGAGCTTATGGCCAGGAATGGAATAATTTTTCTCTCGGTCGGAAAGTGGGGACGACGCGACCATGGTGGGGACTGGTACTTGATAGGTTCGCTTCGCGAAGGCGCATGAGGAGAATAGTAGTGGGAATCGAAATACGGGCGAAAAACAGGGGAAGCGAGCCGTGCGGGATAAATTCTGAGATTTGTGGATAGCAAACAGGCATAGGAGGAGAACTGACGGCCGCAGAGAAGAGCAAGCGGCAAGAGTCGTAAGGTATAAAAAAATTTTATTCCACATTTTCATCTTATTTTTTTATACGGTAGTATCACCCTTTCGGTTATACCGTCATTATTTTTTTATCGTAATAGACTTCGAATGTAACTGTTCGAATCATATCATTTCGAATTTTATGTTGTGTGATAATATTATTTAAGCATTAAATAATTTTAATAGACACTGACATAAAATCTTTATTACAAAAAATAAATTAATTCACTCTACATACAAAAATACATATAACTAATATTAATAATACTCTCTATTCAGTGATGGTTTGATAATTATACTATTATCAAGAATCATTATTATCAAGAAGATAATAATAATGATCCAGTAAAAGTAATAATGTATAATGTACAATTAATATGTAATATAGGGATAAATTGTCACGAGTCTCGATGAACATGCAACAACTTTCTGAAATATAGAAATTCAATTATATTGCTCGTTTTTTAGACATGTTCTCCTTCGTTTTAAATGGGAAAGAACACATCTATCGATATCCATGCTTTTGAATCGGTGTAAAAGTTTTATAAAACCGAATTTAATCGCAGCAGTCTATAGTTCGCTAATCGAGAGTACATATGTATTACACGTTTACAGTCGGTCGCTCATAAGAAGAGTTACGGGACGGCACAGAGGGAAGAATTGTTCCTCGCACGCTACCTTCAACACTCGCTCAAAATTTACATGGTAAGATAACAACCCATTATCTGATTTCAGTATACAAACCGCACGTGCGAGATTGTGCCAACATCAGTGTTTAGGTTCCACGCACCAATTGTCTTGTTTCTATTTTATTCTACTTCTCCTCGATCAAATGGCATACCTTCCAGAACTCTACTCGTCAGCGACGCATCGTACTTGGTCTTACATTATATAAATTATAAGATTAGAACAAATTATGGCTTCTTAATACATTTACAAAAATGTTTTACATGCACTAATTTGTACAAAATATTCCATATATGTATGCATGTGTATTACATCCTAAATATTAAACAAAACCAACATAAAAATTTGCACATTCAACTTTCACGTTTTAAACGCCGAATCCATATAAATTTTTGCAATTTCAATGTCCAATATGTAGATTATACAATTAGCTCGGTTGATCGAGCGCGAATGTAAAATTTATATTATATAACATGAATTTTCGTAATAAAATCATTGTTCATTTTGTACAACCTTAATACTAATATATCTATAATTTCTCCTAGGATATTATGTATATCGTGAACAATTCTTTAATACTCAGAGGCATACTTTAACGTTTTGAGTCAAACAGAAGTTACTATAACGATCTAATTTGCCTTAATCTAGCAAAGACTAACTATTTAGTAAGAAAAAAGATCTAATGAAGATCCAGTCTTGAGTTAAAATATTATGTCATAATGTTCTGCGGAGAGAACATGTGACTAAGAATTCGTATATCACTTTTACGGGAATTGTATACTTCGGATATAGATTATATGTGTAACAAAGTTAATATATATGTAAAAATGATTCTCTTCTTAATTTTTTTTTACAGATTCGCATTATTTTAAGTAATGTCTATATAAATTTTAGTTATTAATTATAGTACTCTCTATCAGTTAATTAACCGGCGGAATTGTACTTTAGTATTTAACTTACTCATTAGTGTTCGCCATCCTGTTAATACGGCGCAGCAAACAAGTATTTAATTCATTAATCCTATCAATATACATACGTCGATTTCAACTTATCAACTTGGTCCCTAATATTAAAATCTTGTAATGAAGTGTTGTACAATAAAGTGCTTTAAATTATAAAATATCTAGCCTCTTCTAACTACGGTTTTTCGCTTCTTCTTTTTAAACTACAAAAGCTATATTGCATACTAAAATATTAATAGATACTTCAACATTTACTTTTGTACTTCTGTGTAAGTCGCATTTGTTCTATCCTCTCGGTATACTGAGACTCAAGCTCTTTCAGCTTCGACGCTACTTGTTCCTCCTGAGTGCTAACGATCGCTTCAAGTTTCTGTTGTACTTGATTCATGGCCCTTTTGTAACCTTCCTCTATACGTTTACATTCGCTTAACAAAAATTTCTCTTTGTTTTCAGCATACTCCTGTAATAATTCAGCGAAATATAACGACAGGATATACATAAAGCGGATCAGCAACTTCTTATCATATTAAATAAATTACCTTGTAATTGTTTGCAGTTTTCTTTGCCGATTGATATTTACGTTTTATCGTATCGATGTTACATTTCATTTCTTTCTCCTTCTCTTTCAACACTTCTATTTCTGCCTTTAAATTCTCTTCACTCTCCTTCAATTGTTGCAATCTCTCGTTCATCTCGACCTCTTTCTCTCTTATCTCTCGAATCTCTGCGGCCCATTTAGTCATTACCTGAGCCATTACGTTTCTCTCTTCGTCGACATCGCTCTCCTTCTGTTTCAACTCTTCCTGCAACTGTTCGATTTTCAACTTTCGTGCTGCCAATTCTTTGTTGTACGTTTCAAGTTTCGTTTCGATCACTTGACTAACAAATTGCTCCTTCGCTTTAAAGGATGAATGAATCTTTACCTTTTCCGTGAGCAGCGCTTCTTTCAACGTTTCCATTTCCTGCGTTTTTTCGTTACATCTAGTTTGCAGTTCTAGCAAAACCGTTTTATACCTCTCCTCCAATTCCTTTCTCTTCTCGCGATGCTGCTCCTCTATACCTCGTAGCTCTTCGACCACTTTCTGTTCCATTTCCTCACGAATCTCCTTTATCATAATTTCTCTTATCTTTTGAAAATCTGTACCATCGCTCGAGCTACGCGGTGATAAGTTCAATTCGGCGGACACTTGTTTCTGATTTTTAACATATTGCTCGAATTGCTTGGCTTGGTTCTTCAGTTTCAAAACAAGCTGATCCCTTTCTCCCTTTATTTTCTCAAAATCTTTCAACCTCTCGAGCTCCTCCTCCTTTCCTTGTAACTCCTTTTCTAATTGTTTGATTCTCTGCTCCATGATAATATCGCTTTTCCTTCCCGCTTTCAAATGATTTATCTTACCGCTCAATTGTGTCACCAGATCCTTGTAATGAGAAAGTTCTTTCTCCAGTTCGCATTTCGAGTTCAACGATACCTCGCTGCTCATTTTAAACCTGTTCTCGAAACTCCCAATGATCTTCTTTGCTTCCATCAACTCTACTTCTAACTGCGAAATTTTGTCCTTGGAAAGGTTTCTTTCGGTTATCAAACTCTCGTATTTAGTTTTCAAACTCTCATTTTCCACTTGATATCGAGCAACTTTTAATTTAACATCGTCCGAGTCTTCGATCTTTGAATTTCGTTTCATATTCATTAATTCAGAATCGAGTTTAGAAATTTTAGCAATAAGATCATTCCTTTCGCTGATTGCGTTATCGTATTTCTTCTTCCACGACTCATGAGTTATTTCCATCTGCGCTATCTTTAATCTAGCATCGTCTAATTCGGATTGATATTCGGATATTTTTTTGTGCTCCTCAACCGCAGCGTGTAATTTTTCTTCCAAACGCTTGCAATCTTGCTCTAACTGCAAACAAATTACATTTCATGTACCATAATTTACCTATGTTCAATCAGCAATAATCGACTAAGTAAGTGTAAATAAGAGATATACCTGATTAATTTTTTCTGAGTGTTCTGAGCAGTGGTCTGGTAAGAGAACGCTTATTTCTTGATTAGGATGAGCGTTACGTAACTCACTCAAAGCTTCCTCTTTAGCTATAAATGTTAAATCGTTTTAATTATACGACTTTCTTAAATGAAATATCAAATGCGTAACCATGTATCTACCTCTTTCAATTTCTTGGTGAATTTTCTTCGTATATTCCTCCTTCTTCTTCCTCTCACAATTTAAATCCTTTTCTAGCTCAATTACTTTACTTCTATACGTATCACATTCCCCCGTCAATCTCTCGATTATTTTCACTTGTGCACGCAAGTCGTTTTCGTATTTGTCGATATCCTTTTCACGTTCATCTAAACTAGCATACTTCTCCTTCAACATTTTGATTTCAGACTTGTGTTCACTTATTAATTGTTCTTTTGTACTGCAGACGTCTATATACAATTCCTTGACGCTGTCCAACTCCTTTTGCGTTTGCTCTAATTGCACGCTGCAACAAGTATTATAAATAATGGTAAAACAATTTATGAAACTGTTGCTTGATCTTTTATAATGGGTATCGCCAGTACTTACGATAATTGCACTACTTCGACTTGTGCCTCTTGTCTAACTCTCTCAACGGCCTTAGCATGTATCTCTAAATATTCTTTATTGTACTCGTCAATGGCCTCCTTTTCCTGTTGATTTATGCTCTCTTGGTGTAACTTCTTAAGAGTCTCTTGATTAACTGCTAATGTTTCTTCTAACTTTTGTTCTAATCCTACTTTTTCCTCGCGCAACGATTCGTATTGCTTCTTCACATCGTTAAGATGATGCGACAACTTTTGTATTTGAGCATTCGCTTTCAACGCTTGATCCGTAAGCACAGACTTTAACTCATGTTCCAATTCATCGACACGCTTAGCGTACCGAGCGGCCTCCTGCCGACATGTGTCTGTTACAGTTAAAGCTTTATCGAGTTCTTTCTCTTTTTGGGCCAAAGTATTCTCTAATCGAGTTATTTCTTTCCTTTTTACAGCTTGCCAAGCCAAACATCTATAAGTTAATGATCAAATAATAGTGCGCCCAACAATAATTCATAAATAGTTCCGCGTAAAAACAAATTACCTTTGCAATTCTCCTCTTAATTTACTTGTGATATCATCGCAAGGTTTCGATCTCGATTTATTATGAAGATCTCCCAGTTTCATCTGTCGGATGGAATCAGATTCTTCTTCCAATGTCGTTGTCAATAATGAATCAAATTGCGCTACATCATTTTTTGTTATTTCTAACTTATTCTGCAAATTTATATTCTGTGGATATTAGAGTACGACAACAAATATCCTCAATAAACTGTTTTACATGAATCAATATTTTAAATACCTGTAGGTCTTGAATTATTTTTTGCATTTCATCCTTTTCTTGTGTTAGTATTTTAACTTGCGCTTGAAACTGCATCACCTGTTGAGCATTGTTCGTAGCCATGAGATTCCTGCATTGCGCTTGACTTTCTTCCAATGCTTGCGCCAAACGATTCATGGTGTCACCTTTCTCCACCATAAGAGTTTCGTGCGCTCTTCGGACATCAGCCAATTTATTCTCCAATGAGACGTACGATGCTTCCTGTTGAAATTAAAGCAAGGTAAGTGATTAACATCACTGCTAAAACAAAATACTCTTTGCTCTAAATATATCTTATTCTTTTAATAATCCTGTCATGCAAACGATTTAGACATTGAAAGTATTCGATTTATACAATGGATTATAATACGGGAACAATTAAAATATAGGCTTGAGATTATACAATATGCCAGAAACTTGCCCAAATACATTGAGTGTTGGAATCCACATTGAGCAGCTATGACAAATAACATTATTACAATCATATGCTTATAACTGCACAGTACACACACGAATACCTAATTTATTTATTAAATATATTATATATAATGTTAGAAATACCTTCGCGTTAAGTTTATCTGTGAGAACATCTATTTGAGTTTGCATATTTTTCATTTCGATCGTATGTTTTTCCTGCGCTTGTTTCAAGAACTTCTCATGCGTTCTATCATTCGCTTGCAGAACTTGCACTCGTTCCAGCATGGCTATCTTTTGTTGTAACTCTATTACGGAATCTCTGGCAACATTCAATTCTTCTGTCATCTGTAAAATTTATATACTATAGTGTATGAAAGTTAAAACGTAAGATACACAACATGCTCGCAGTAGAAATCTTACGTTTTGATTTGTTTTCTCTAGTACAGAGTTCTTTTCTTTCAACGAAGCTATTTGATTGTGGAGATCGGCGATTTCAGCTTTCGTGTCAACTGCAAAAAAGGCACGCGTGAGACAAGTTTTATGACAATTCTTTTAGTATCATCTTACCCAAAGCATGCTGAGTTTGATTTCTAGATATGTTCGCACGTTCAATTTCTGCCTGCAAAAGTGCTATCTTCCTACTCAATTGACTTTTCTCTTCTTCCTTTTCTAACTGCAATTGTTGCAACTCTTCTGACAATCTTTTAATTTCTCTCAATCTGACTGTATACAACACCTCCAACTGCTCCTTGCTATCGTATTCCGCTGTTTTATACGCAATGTTATCATCTCTCGATCTGCCGTTCGGACTTGTTTTGTAACAATGATTCACATGATCGGACGTAACATTATCACCACCACCAAACTCGTGAACTTGTTTACTCTGTACATTGTTCTCGTATCCATCGATGTAACCATTGTTCGAGTAATTTTTACTTTGAACATCATAATGGTTCGAAGGTGTTTGATAATTGTACGGATAATTTTCATTAAACGTGTATTCTTCGTCGACTTGAACTCGCAAATCTCTGGCGAACGCAGAGTTCGGCAGTCTTGGTAGTTCGTATGGCGTGTCAACAGTATCATTATTGCTATTGCTCTTGGAATATGGTGTCTCTGTCTGACCATAAATGTTGTAATCCCTCTGCATATCAGACATCGAAGGCACGGTTTCTAGTTCTGACCGATGATTTGTCATAACATCATCATGGTTATTCTCAATACGATTATAAACACCAAATTCCTTCTGCAGTTGAGACATCGTCGTCGAGACATCTTTAGGCGTTGTAATTCTTTGTTCAGAAGTGTTTAACGCTACATTAAACACTTCTGCTCCTTTAGTGCTATCCTGATAATGACTACTGTTAATGGAACTAGTGTCATTGTCATCCTCTAAATCGTCAAACGCATTGGTCAAGAGATCCGTGATCTAGAACACCAAAACTTGTCTATTAAAACGATGATCCCTGTAATTTATTCTTCCAAATTGAATTTTCTTAAGAGACAGATATATCTTCTAAATCATTTCATGGACAACATCTCTTTAAATGAATTCACTTTAAAATAAAGAAAAGGGTACCTCTTTATTTCGTCGTTTGATGTCTTCTTGTTCTTCATCCTCCTCTAAGCCTTGTGTACTTGTGTTTAGCCGAATACTTTCTGAGCCTTGAAACAAGCTCAGGCCTGGACCCTCCATCCCTATCGTTTGGCATGCACGAATTTATCATGAAAACCGAACGTTTATACCCAACATATTTTTGTTTATAACACCATAACCTAAACGCAACAAGTGGGTCACAGAGAAACAGTTTCAACTATGATTCCAGGCGACGAAACGTACTAGAACGTCTTGGTAAGCACATTTTTCACTAATCTCGACAAGTTCGCGACAAACAAATCTGCGATAGCTAAACTTCTCAAATGATTTCTACGCTTCGTAATTTGCTTGTAAACAATCTTTGAAAAGTCAAACTGCATTACAGGAAGTCTATACGCGGAAATAAGCTTTCTGACTGCTCTGGCTCTCCTATTGGTCCATCCGCCAAGTATACGTATATATGTACAGTGTGTACATAAGTGTTTACATAGCGAGAGTAGCAGCATACATATATTTTCTATAAATTATTTTTACTGCAAAGAGTTTAAACGAAGAGATATATCTGCATGAAACAGTAAAAGAAACTTTACTGATATATAGAAAACGACGTTAATTTAAATATGAAAGCAGTAATACAACGAGTGACGAAAGCTAGCGTTTCAGGTAATGATCAGGTTATACATGTTTTATTGTAATGACGAAAATTATCGTGTCTTGTACGATGCAAGAATCAAGCAGAAATATCGAATGCCTCTCATAGTTAATAAAATAAAAGCTGTGTCGCATTGTACTAAATAAAAAATAGCTTGAATAGATACATGTATTTCCCGTTCATCGGTTCTCCTAAAACAACAGTATGTAATGCTAAATAATATGAATCTGCTGGTAATGATTGTAGAAAGATATAATTCTTTAGGTACTAGGATAAAGCGGAAGTCTTTGCAATAAAATTATTAATAGCGTATTCGATCATTTATTTAGTTCTGATACGATTGTAGAATATTTTTTACAGTTGATGGTGAAATTATTAGTAGCATTGGGAATGGTCTCTGCATTTTGATTGGCATAAAAAGAAATGACACAGTGGAAGACATGAAATACATGTAATGAAACACGTTAATACATTGTATCATACTTCTGGTATTTAAAAAGAATAAGTAGTTTAGTAAAGTAAGGAATAAATTCTTATTTTCTTTAGAGTAAAAAAGATATTAAATGTAAAACTTTTTGACGGTGATAATAATAAAAAATGGGGTGCCAGTGTAGTGGATAAGCAATATGAAATATTATGCATCAGTCAATTTACATTGTATCATAATCTAAAAGGGAATAGATTAGATTTCCACAGAGCTATGCCAGCCCAAGAATCTGAGCCATTTTATAATCAATTTCTCGCTGAACTTGGTAAAAGTTATAGACCAGAATTGATTAAAGGTAAATAATCAAGTACGAGCGAGTAATCTTTTCAATCAGATATCATAAGACCAGATGTTCTGCCGTAAATTCAATTAGAAGAAGCGTGTTTCACTACGTTCTAAAGAGTTTAACATTTTCATCTGTCGATTCTTAATTAACATAATTCTTATTGGACTCAACTTACATTTAGAATTTGAGTACTTTTTATTGAAACGAATATAATTTTCATTTCAGCTATAAATAAATAATTATATATAAAAATGTACATCTAAACGATATTCCAAGTAAATAATAGGCTCTAAATATTGATTTTGAATGCCACACTTGGAAAAAGGTATTTATTTTTTAAATGCGTTATTAACGATAAGAAGATACAATGGAACAGGACCAAAAAAAAGATGAAAAGTCATCAACTATGAAGGATGAACATTCGGCAGGTATGTAACGCTGTGCACTAAAAATTATAAATTTATTAATCAAGTGTATTGCAGATAATATTTCGCAAGAGAAGGTAGAAGTAAAGAATGTGGAACTATATGATGTAGCTGTAAATACATCGGACGATGAATTAGCGAATTCGCGACAAGTATGATAGAACATTGTAATAAACATATTTCAATAACAGTTTGTATTAATTTTGGAAATAATTATTTTGCAGTCACGCGAGATTCAAACGGATCCGGCGGACACGGAAGTTGTGGAAAAGTTGAAAAGTAGACTAGACACATTAATGAATTCTTTGGCAACTCTATCAGCGGAAAAATCGAAAATGGAAGCGAATTTTCAACAGGACAAGAAGCAACTTAGAAGTGAACGGGACGAAGTTAGTTTCTTTTTTCTTGCATTTAGATTTTTCGTAATCGTACATTGCAAACAACATATATTTCTGTAGTGTGAAAAAGTAATTAAAGATTTGAAGGAAAAATTGAGAAAGGCGCAAACTACGAATCACTCAGAGATCGAACATGTGAAGTGTAAATTAATTATGGAGCGTCACGAAAGGGAAAAGGAACAAATTGATCACGCGAAGATGTTGAAGTAGGTGACAATATAAAAAGATGTGAACGATTCTTATCTTTACGGATATACGCACAATCTATTTGACTCTTTTCTTTCTCGTAGAGAGCTTCAAAAATTATTGTACGAGGAACGACGAAGTAAAGAACAACTAGAGGCGCAAGTGAAAACTCAATTCGCGAACAAGACACAATGTAAAATACTCGAGGCCGAATTAGAGATAACTAGAAATAAGCTAAAGCAAGCAGAGGAAGCAGCTAAAGAGACGCCTCCGATCTTAGTGTCCCTTCAATCAGAAATGGCTCTTATGAAGAAACAACACTTGGATGCGATACATGAAGTAATTCTGGAAGAAATAATTGGCGAGTGATTTGTTTGAAATTATTGAAGTAACTTATTTAATTCCTTAGGAACAGAAAAGAGCTGCTGCGGCGGAGCAGCAAGCTAGAGTCTTAGCGATGACTCACGAAGCACGGGTAGCCGGCTTGGAAGCAAGATTGGCAGAACTTTCCGATATCGTCGGAGGCTACGATAGGCTCAGGCAACAGGACCAACAAGCTATTCAGAAGCTAAAAGACCAGCTGGCCGGTCTACAAGACTCTGAGCATAATGATTATTTTACTTTAAGTAACGAACCCGAGGAAATTATTTCTAAGATGAAAAATCTGTATACGAAATTATTAGATTCGGATAATAAAAAGAGTGAATCGGCGCATGTGAAATGTAAGTTCATTCGTATGACCATAAAGTGTCATCAAGGTTTTTAATTAATTTTTAATTCGTAGCATTGCTACGCAGTTTGGATTTATGCGATAAGCAACAGGTTATTGAATACAAAGAGAAATACGAGTCCCTTTCGCAAGAGTACGAAGATTACAAGCAGCAAATAAAATACAGCCACACAAACATGTCGCATAATATGCAGAGCCAGAACGTTGCTTCATCGAACGAAATAAACAACAAGACGCAGCTCCATTTTCTAAAAGCACATAACAACAATCTAGAGGAAAGGATACGTGTGTTAAATAACGAAGTAGTGAACAAAGAAAGAGAGATGCAGTTAAAATTGGAACATCAAGAGAAGGTAATACTCTTCTTATTCTTAATTAATCTGAATTTAACGAGCAACATTATTCTTATAGTCGTTTCAAGAGGAGCGCGCAGAATTGAAACACTTGTTATTCCAAAAGGATAACGAATTTCGTAGTAAAATATCCACGTTGGAGCAACAGTTATTACGTCAACGAGGGCGATCTATGGCTCTTATCGAAGAAAAGGACAAGGAAATCCTGACTTTAAAAAGTTCTTTTCACGCTTTGTTACCTAACAAAGAAAACATCGTAGATAATAAACCGAGTACGCTCAAACATCAAAACGAAACGGAACCAGCTACCGATTTGGTAACGGGATTATTGACAAGCGATAGTCCTCCGATACTGCATTATAGTCAAGAGTTAGCTAGAAAAGAGGTTCAAGTGTCGGCTTCTAGAAAGAAGCTTCTACAGTTGGAAGCTACCTTGCGGGAAAAGCAACGAGAAATGGTTCATATAAACGAGAGACACAAAGAAGATATAAAAACGTTACAAACTCAAATCACAAGGTACATTTTGAATCAATATTAATACGTATTTATACTGAAACGTTCGTTCAATTTTTAATATGTTCTTTTAAATAAGTGTTTATATGCGATCTCAATAATTTTCAGACTCGAAGCCTGCAAATCCAGAGAAGGTGCTAATCTTGAATATCTAAAGAATGTGTTTATAAATTATCTGACGACGAGCGATGTGTCCAGTAAACGGCATATGCTAAATGCTATTTCTACGATCTTGCGTTTCACTCCGGAAGAATCGAGTAAGATAAAACACTAACTAATACTGGTTTCATTATTTATTTTATATATTCCGGATCTTATGATGATCCCAAATGATTCTTTATGCTATCATGATGGCCAAATTGAATTTAATCTATTGCATACTTAACAAACAATAGATGGGTACATGACTTAATTCTGAATTTATTAGCAAACCGGAGAGAATACTTATTTCCTACAGTTCTTTCAAATGGTTTGTTATCATAAGAAATTACATGTTATGCTGCCAATGTAAAGATTGTACATCAACCTACAGTTTCTTTTGTTTTATCTGTGTAATATTGAAGTTCGATGTGCAAAGGAAATAAAAAAAATACAAAGAAGTTAAAAAGGAAGAATTTGTACAATTTAAGTTATTTTTTAGTACATTGTTTCACCACTCATGTGCAATTGTTAACTGAATCCTAGTTTGACTCTGACTAAAGCACGTTCTGTTAATGATCGTGGGAGTTATGGTAATAAATGATGTGCTCTAGCATCTAGAAGTTGTATTTCCTCGGTGGTACTAGTAATAAAAGAGGTGAAACAAATTTGAATAAATCGTTTATGCACAATTTCATTCATTCATTCATATTTATATTAAATATAGGAAGAACCAAAGTATAAATTTCACGATCGATTTTATATTACTTAATAATCTTACAATTTATATTGTGTGGCAAGTGTGGACAACTTAGAAAGAAGAGGAAAACGAAGCTTTCTTGTAGACATAAACGTGTACGTTGTACAAAGTACGATGTACATTTCGATATATTGATTATAAATAACATTGCCATTATATGCTCGAACTTATGACGAAGGAATAATTTCTCTAAATGCACGTCGACTTTTACGTCCTCTCTTATTTTTATACGCGTGTGTGTCAGTGTAATTATTCTCTAAAATCAATAACAAGAAATGTTCGAATACACGTATTTCACGTACGCATAAGTTCGTGGTATTTATTTATACTACATACGTGCATTTATGTACAAAAAAAAACGTTTGGCATGTTACTTAGCATTCAATTCGTCCATGAAAAACGAACCGAGTAACTTATACGGGATATAGAATATAGCGTCTTTGATAAGTTTCAAAGAATTACGCATGTTTAAGCTGTTAAATAATCTCTCGCTCGGAATTCTCTAATAACGCATGTATGTATTGTGTATCCGTATGTCCCAGTTGATCGATAACAACGTATAGTGTCTCCCAAGCGAAAATTGTATCAACTATGTACAGATGAAGACAGTATTCTCCTCTGGAGATGTTTTTATGTAAATTTCCGAATTATGGATTATCAGATTATCACAAACCGATGAACTTGATATTTCGGACATATGCTCGCATACGTCTCGCAAACATAAAATGCAAATTACCAAGTATCTCTATCTACAATAGTCTGATAATATTTTCTGTGAAAAAATCATTTAAATTCAGACATCCACAGTGGAGGTACAGTCTTAGAAAGCCACGCTCGTGTTTCAATCGTTGAACTTTCGATATTCTCGAGAGTATATTAATAAAATACGGGCAAACGATGTCTCGTTAACTCGATTTGCACTTTTACATTAATTCTTGCTAAATATTACTCCTCAACATTCCTCAACATTATGATCATACAATTAGTCGCAGTATCATTTTGTCTATTGTATATAGGCAATCCTTATAGGCTTCGAGTATCTGTCCTTGCGTCCTTTCTTTATCATCTTGTCACAAACGATTAAAATGGTTTTTTACTTTAAGTATCTTCAAGGCATAATGATGTACACCTGTTTTAATAGTTTCACGTACGAATACCAGGCTCAGAATGTCGGCGATTGTCAACACAGATTACAACATCTTTTAATTTGATAACACTTGTTTAATATTTCTTTATAATTAGACATCGGTATATAATATATATATTTCTTGTGAATAATTATACCATTATCTATCTCGTTCTCTGAACATTTTTCATTAATCTGTTAAGACTTCTTCTTTCTCTCCTTCTTTCTCTCCTAATGATGTTAGTAATAATACTAATGTACAGAGGCCCTTAAATAACATTTCCCCGAGAGAAGAATGCATTAACATTTTGTGCACTTGGCCAACAAAATACTAGCGATCTCGTCAGAGGTGGAACGCCAATTATGAGATCCTTTCGTGTCTTCGAGAACTGTTTTATATATCTACTACCTTTCCAGCACTATTTGCAAGTATATTTCCGTTTTTATTATAATCTTAATACAAACGCTAACAATATTTTATACAACAATGACATCACACCGATATAATATTTATAATTATTGTGTATTATTAATATTATAGCGGTATGCATAAGTACAGTTATTCACAAAGTTGAGAGAGCGTACGCTTATGCCAATAGTGAAAATTGGTGAAAAAATACATTCGATTCTAGAAAGTTGAAGTAAGTTGATTTTTAAATTTAAATTCTTACAATTTCTTAAGACATCAGTATTAATTTTCTGCCAATCCCTTGACCAAACGATTGTGGCTAAACAATTTATTAGCATACGTGTATTTATACTCAATATCGTGAGCAACTATGTAATCTTAGAACTTTCCATTAAAATTATAATACATAGATCGTGATCTGAATGTAACGGAAGTCACGTTGCAAGGTTGTTTTCAGAAGGTAAACGGCATAACCGCGGTTTAATCTTATCGCATTATCTTATTTGTTAATGTCTTTAACGTGTGTATGTACATTAGTCCAAATCCAATGAATTTCGTTAACGTTACGACTTTGAAAATCAATATCTATTTCGAGAAAAAGATCGTAGAGTATTTATCGAAAACTGACGTTAATTTAATTCCTAATCTGCAAATATGTATATAGTTCTACGTAGAAAAATTCGATTGCGACGCACCATAAAAATGCTTAGATTTAATCACAAAAAAATAGATAAAAATATAATTCATATGTGTAATCGTATCGTGTTACTCTAATATTATTGCAATTTTAATAAACCTTTTAAAATAAGAAACATCGATAATCCTTTAACATTGCAATGTTTTAAAAATTATTTGGAAATTATAATGTCCCGGATAAAATAATTTAAAACAATAAAAAACGGAAAAGAAATCGTACTCCACTTTCGTCGATTCATTTACACGTATCCTTTTATTTTGGTATGAAATATACGTATACAAAAATACCTCTTTAAACGAACCACGCGTATGATGCACGTGTATATGAAATTAATGGCCAAGACTTTACTAAACTTAAAATGTTCATACTTTCTCACATTCTATAGACATAAAATTTCCTCATTTGTTCTTGTAGTCTTTTCTTCTAAACAAATGTTAAAGGAATTTTACTGGAAATTGGTAATTGAACGAATTGAAACGCGAATCACCTACTGTTTATGCATATGCGTGTGTCGTTTTAAAAAGGTGTTTTTTCTTTTTTCTAAGCTCTCTGAATATACAATAGTCCGTCGCAAATGCCACAATATTCTTTCCTCGTGCAAACGTCTTGCATCATTATACTAATATATCCCTTGTATTCCGTGCCTTTAGAAAATGTAAATGCGTTTGTGAGTGAAAACGCCGATAGGTATCGACGATTTGGTCCAACTGGTTCTCGTGCAAAGGGGCATCGGTTTTAAAATCGCAACATTTCCATCGCTTTTGTATCTTATTCACACATTTATATGTACACAATAGCTCGCGAAAGTATTTGAACGCTTATCATAGAAACTATTATTCAACACCATATTGTACTGAACAAAATTTTTATATCGAATTCACATTATTTATGGGTTTTCGAGAACGTAACACAGTAAAAGTTACATGAGTTATTTATTGCTAACGTGTCTAGATTCAGATTGCAAAATATGATACGTAAAATTTGAATAAGAATTGCAATGATGCTCTCTTACGTGCGTATATATATAAAACTTTGTAATTTATATAAATATTACATCTTTCTTTTAAATAACAACAATTAAATAATGAAATTACATTTTTCAAAACTTTATGCTACTTCAAAACTGTTGCGAAATAATTGTTGAAACCGTACACATCATGTATAATTTATTGTTACATTGATAAGTAATTAATATTAGGTATACAAGTTTTCTATGCTGTCTATCCAAATACTTTCGTAAGCCGGTTTACGTGTGCAAAAAAATCTTAATTGGTTTTGCCAGTTTCAATCTCTTCTTTTATAAATTGCAAGATTGACGGACGATAAATGAATTATCGTGAGCGCATCGTTTCGATGAGTTTTGCTATTTAAAAGTAATCGTAGCTATAAAGCCTAGTAAAATGACCGTAACAGGATGATGAAATAGCGATTTAGACTGCGATAAGAATACATTATTGCTGAATAGTGAGTAACATATTTGAAAAAAAAAGAGCGAAAGAACTGGAGTAGAATTATTTCGTAGGTGTCTAGAGTTTACTCGAAGTGCGTTTATATCTTACAACAGGAGGAAATGGATTTGGGAAGATAATTTACAAATATGCACTTGGTGAAGAAACTGCCGGTAGAGTAGCCGCCACTTTTTACTTTTACTCCTGTTTTTCCTAGATCACAGTCACGTTTATGGCTGCTGAATCACGGAACATGTTTCATCACCATTTTTTTTTTATCGGCTCCTCGTTTCATTTGTTTGTTCTTTGACTTCGAGAAAAAGAAGAAAAGAGGAAGAAAAACTGTGAAAAAAGTAGCTTCGAAATCTTATCAATACTGAAAAATAGTTTACTAGTTGACGCAAGTACAAAATATGATAATCGATTTAAATTTTTTGAGAAGAGCAGCAAGTGTTCAAGAGACACTTGATCTCCGTTTAAGATCCACTCCTGTATAGAAGTCCCGCTCGACAAATAATTTCATTATTCCTGGGATAAATTATGAGATATGAAAACGTATTTTTCTTCATATTCGTAACATAGAGACAAGGACTTTTTATTAAAAATCATCTTCTTTTTTAATTCTAACTGCAATTAAATTATAAACAATTAAAATTATCGCAGATAGCCATAAAAAATTTAAAATAAAGCGCACGCGATGCGTTTAAAATATTTTCTGTAATAAAACGATGTATGCATACAATAAAAAAGTTTGCTGAATGATGTTAAGTTCAAAATAACACTCTGTGTCTTCATAAATGCTTTGATGAAATTTCGTCTCGAAATGAACTTTAAAATCGGCTTACACTTAAGAGTGTTTAAAAAAGAAAAATACTATTTTCGACGAGAAAGGTACGTGGCATTATTTACAAAATATGTTGCAAACAGAATTCATGATTTCTAATAAAAACGAATATGAATACTAGAAGTTATATCTTTGAATGTAATAAATACGGTATGAAAGAACGAAAACAGATTTTCGTATTTCAAGGGAGTAATAAAATTTCTTAGGAGTACACTATATGCAGGACTGATCAGCGCAGATATCAAGTGTCCCTTATTGCTTCCAACATCAACGCTTACCACCAATGCATTTATAACGCTCCGTAATGAAATAATAAATCGTTAAAAAAAAATAATAGTAAGAGAGTAATGTATAATATATATATATTATATACAAATAATATCCTAACATTTTTTAGGAAAGGGTTCAACTTTGGAGGAGAGTGGGGAAATATCTCGTGCGCAAGAATTGAAGGCCCACACGATTCTGTAAATTCTTTTTCGTATCTTAATCCTGCCCGCACACTCTCTCTTTACTCACTTTCACTCTCTCTCTCTCTCTCTCTCTCTCTTCCTCATAATTGTTATATGCTACAAATTACAATGCTCTACTCTACCGCTTCGGAGATTTATCTTAAATTTTTTTTATATAATATATATATATATTCCAAGTAGTGTATAGTATTTATTTCTTATTTACAAAATACGTAGAATAGGTTTTGTACACCTATTCTAACTACAATATATGCGTGCCGTGGCTTGTCGACGTGCGCTTTTTTTATTTTTCTTTTTAATAAGTGTATCACTAATTACATAATCTATTTTACAGCCAAATTCAACAATCTCCGCTGAAATTCAACGCGTACATACGACATGGTATCGATGAAAATATTTCTATAAACGTAAAAGTAATCGCTTGATCGATAAAACGCGTTAAAATAAACGAGATACGGAGTACCCGTAGTTTTCTCGCACAATTAGCAATCTTTAAAAACGTAATAACAAAACGTTCAAATGGCGACGTGTGTGTGTATCTTTAATAAATTTAGACATCATATTCTCTTCCGGACGTTTACTTCTTTATTTGCAAATGTATAGATCACCCGTGCATGATTGCACTTAATATTAAAGATAAAAGCAAATAACTTGTCACGGCCACAAAAAAAAGAAAAAAAAAGACGGCCCATATAAAACCGCTTACATCTAAATCGGCCTCAAAAAAAATAAAAAAAAAAAATTAATATACGCTTATGTAATGAAAAACAGCAGCTCGACTTTAAAATACTTATAAAACGAAAAATCTCTCGATCGCGTCGAATTTGAGCGGAGCTCTAAAAAACAGTAGATAAGTACTTTCTCTCGAGAATATGGGAAACGTATTACATATTATCTATATCGAGTGGTGTCTAACAATTAATTCGTTACTATCAAGGGACTTGTTACGCATGCATTCCCTTTCTTTGTCGCCGCACAATGGCACGATTTTTTTCTTTTTAATCCCCACTGTTTTCTTTCCTATAATCTATAAATCACCAAAAAGAATGCCTTTGTCGTGAAAATTTCTCAGACGCAGCATCGTATATAGATACTTTTCTTTTTAAACTCTCTGGATATATCCCGCTTTGAGTCATACCATAGTATTTACAAGTAAAATAAACATCGTTCACCAACTGCGTTTACATAAATTTTGTGCAATGTTTTTATATCGCAGTTCTCTATAGTTCTTTTCTCTTTCATCTCTATATATCATATATATATATTATATAAAGTATAACTAAAGTATATAAACTCTGATTTCATTTTATAATGCTTCGTTAATTCTAATACTCTCTGATTACGATCTTCTCTTCCTCTTTCTCTCCCTATCTCCCTCTCTCTTAAAAAAAAAAGAAAAACATTCACGCATCTTCTACACGTATTCAAAAATTCATACCTCTGTATCACACAAATTCTCTCTCTCTCTCTCTCTCTCTTTCTCTCTCCCCCTCCCTTTTTCCTACTTGGATCTCAGTATTTTTCTTAACAATGTTTAACAATGGCTTAGGCCTTCGAATAATCCTTTCAAGGTGTTTCGATGTACAAATATCGTTTGTGTATATTTGGAATCGTATAACTATGAAATTATTGATTTCATAACGAATATGTTAGTAAAATAATTTCCACGCTTCTATATTATTTATAACTTGTTTGGGTGCTTAGAATGTGGCAGAGTATTGTCTTTCCTTCTGAGTGAAGAAAGCTCATCTTTTATGCGAATTACATACACAAATCTCAAAACAATTTTATCATTTTCCCCATTCTCGTATCGTTTTGATAAGCAATACGACAATGTACGATTAAGCCTGCAATTTTTCTGAGCTTCTAATTCGCTAACAAACATGGTTATTTCTATAATATACAGCTAGATTCTTCAATGCGCAAATATTTCACAACTCCACGTCATCGTTATATATTCCGACATAACACAGATACTCGAACACACAAATTTAATTTAACGTTGGTAATCTCTCGCGAAACACTCGATACAATGCTCCATTTTTCTTACCTTTTATGTACAACACGAAGAGAGCTTGCTGATATGTGTACATCAAACTCACCTTGATATGCCTTCCTATGTATGTATAAGTCACCTGCACCAGGTTACAATCAATGTTCGAATTGCACTAAAGCCTTGCAGCACTTCACAACTCGTAAAAAGAAAGAAAAAAAAATAAAAAAAGAAAAAGAAGAAATACGTTGTACATCAACAATCTTCCCAAATAAAAACTTTCCTTCATCTCAATGAATAATGATGTACTCATGCTGTGAAGTAAGGGGATGCGTAGTATCACAGTTGGCATGTGGGCGCTAGCTACCACTACTGCTTACAGGCAGTGAATGTGGAGCTCCCATCGATGTAGGAGGAGCAGTCAATGGTCCTATACGGAAAATTTGTATCTCTTTCAAGCACCTGTATGTTAGAGAACGAGACAAATGTTCTCTTTGGTCAATGTAATAAATGACAAATGGATTTAATAATTACCAGTCACGTTAGGTGAAGCTTCAGAAACAGGAAGGGGACTAACCAGACTGTTAGCACTCATGGGTGTCGAGTTAGCTTTCAACTTTTGTCTGACCTCTCGAATCTTCAATTGCAAACTTGTTTTGTTAGGGAATATGTCCGAGTGTTTCGCTTGGAACGTCGTGGTAGCTTGCGTCGAGGGAAAGTAACCATGTTCTTGAAACAATTGCATGACGAGGTGTCGACGTTGCTCCAGTACTTTCCTGTGACCCCGTTCGTTCTCGCTTCTGCCGATACTCATCGTGTTTCCAGCACCGCCGCCGGGTGTCTTCGGAGTCCTGGGAGAACTAGCATCAACGTCCCCCACCAACTCATTATTAGCTCTGTATGCGTCAACATTGAAATCTGGACCAAAGAATGTGTTTCCTGTCAACTTGACGCTGGAAGTTGATTTCGGTGTGGCGGATACTGGCGTATCTGATTCGATATCGTCCTCATTCACTGTTTAAAAAAGAGGATGTATGTATACGTTTTTCAACCTGAGAATATGGGATTTAGAGGATGAATGATTTAAATAGTTACTTGTGGGCCTATGAGGTCCCTGCGCAGGTTTTTTTCGATAACTTTGCATTTGCATCGATGATTGCAAATTTGATGGGTGCAAGCCAGATGTTACCACTGAACCATGTCCAGACGAACCTGCCGTGTTGATACTGATTGCACTTGGACTTTGTATATCTTCCGGTTTAAACTCTGGCAAGGACGAGAATTTTTCTTGAAAATTCACTTGTTCGAGAACTCTGAAAACACATTTTTCATAAACTCGACATTGAATATCTATGTATTATTCACTTTCATTTTCTGTTATAAATGTAATTAATACGTGGCACACCTATCCATTCCATCTTCGACGTTCTTCTTGAAGAAAGAACCTTTCTTCGTGGATGGTGACGGTGAAGCATGAGATTCTGTAAAATTTTGTTGTTGCTGTACCTCCGACGCTTGAGATGTAGTAATTTGCGAACGATTGTCGCAATGTTGAGATGTCAAAGGCCCATGGTCTCCTGCATTCGATGTGGGAGGCATTGCTGAAAAAAATAGTGAGAAAAATACTTATATAAAGAGCATTTCAATAGACGAAATTAAAATTAACAAGATAATTTTAGTACAGTAGACTTCTTCATATATATATATTATATAAAGTATAACTAAAGTATATAAACTCTGATTTCATTTTATAATGCTTCGTTAATTCTAATACTCTCTGATTACGATCTTCTCTTCCTCTTTCTCTCCCTATCTCCCTCTCTCTTAAAAAAAAAAGAAAAACATTCACGCATCTTCTACACGTATTCAAAAATTCATACCTCTGTATCACACAAATTCTCTCTCTCTCTCTCTCTCTCTTTCTCTCTCCCCCTCCCTTTTTCCTACTTGGATCTCAGTATTTTTCTTAACAATGTTTAACAATGGCTTAGGCCTTCGAATAATCCTTTCAAGGTGTTTCGATGTACAAATATCGTTTGTGTATATTTGGAATCGTATAACTATGAAATTATTGATTTCATAACGAATATGTTAGTAAAATAATTTCCACGCTTCTATATTATTTATAACTTGTTTGGGTGCTTAGAATGTGGCAGAGTATTGTCTTTCCTTCTGAGTGAAGAAAGCTCATCTTTTATGCGAATTACATACACAAATCTCAAAACAATTTTATCATTTTCCCCATTCTCGTATCGTTTTGATAAGCAATACGACAATGTACGATTAAGCCTGCAATTTTTCTGAGCTTCTAATTCGCTAACAAACATGGTTATTTCTATAATATACAGCTAGATTCTTCAATGCGCAAATATTTCACAACTCCACGTCATCGTTATATATTCCGACATAACACAGATACTCGAACACACAAATTTAATTTAACGTTGGTAATCTCTCGCGAAACACTCGATACAATGCTCCATTTTTCTTACCTTTTATGTACAACACGAAGAGAGCTTGCTGATATGTGTACATCAAACTCACCTTGATATGCCTTCCTATGTATGTATAAGTCACCTGCACCAGGTTACAATCAATGTTCGAATTGCACTAAAGCCTTGCAGCACTTCACAACTCGTAAAAAGAAAGAAAAAAAAATAAAAAAAGAAAAAGAAGAAATACGTTGTACATCAACAATCTTCCCAAATAAAAACTTTCCTTCATCTCAATGAATAATGATGTACTCATGCTGTGAAGTAAGGGGATGCGTAGTATCACAGTTGGCATGTGGGCGCTAGCTACCACTACTGCTTACAGGCAGTGAATGTGGAGCTCCCATCGATGTAGGAGGAGCAGTCAATGGTCCTATACGGAAAATTTGTATCTCTTTCAAGCACCTGTATGTTAGAGAACGAGACAAATGTTCTCTTTGGTCAATGTAATAAATGACAAATGGATTTAATAATTACCAGTCACGTTAGGTGAAGCTTCAGAAACAGGAAGGGGACTAACCAGACTGTTAGCACTCATGGGTGTCGAGTTAGCTTTCAACTTTTGTCTGACCTCTCGAATCTTCAATTGCAAACTTGTTTTGTTAGGGAATATGTCCGAGTGTTTCGCTTGGAACGTCGTGGTAGCTTGCGTCGAGGGAAAGTAACCATGTTCTTGAAACAATTGCATGACGAGGTGTCGACGTTGCTCCAGTACTTTCCTGTGACCCCGTTCGTTCTCGCTTCTGCCGATACTCATCGTGTTTCCAGCACCGCCGCCGGGTGTCTTCGGAGTCCTGGGAGAACTAGCATCAACGTCCCCCACCAACTCATTATTAGCTCTGTATGCGTCAACATTGAAATCTGGACCAAAGAATGTGTTTCCTGTCAACTTGACGCTGGAAGTTGATTTCGGTGTGGCGGATACTGGCGTATCTGATTCGATATCGTCCTCATTCACTGTTTAAAAAAGAGGATGTATGTATACGTTTTTCAACCTGAGAATATGGGATTTAGAGGATGAATGATTTAAATAGTTACTTGTGGGCCTATGAGGTCCCTGCGCAGGTTTTTTTCGATAACTTTGCATTTGCATCGATGATTGCAAATTTGATGGGTGCAAGCCAGATGTTACCACTGAACCATGTCCAGACGAACCTGCCGTGTTGATACTGATTGCACTTGGACTTTGTATATCTTCCGGTTTAAACTCTGGCAAGGACGAGAATTTTTCTTGAAAATTCACTTGTTCGAGAACTCTGAAAACACATTTTTCATAAACTCGACATTGAATATCTATGTATTATTCACTTTCATTTTCTGTTATAAATGTAATTAATACGTGGCACACCTATCCATTCCATCTTCGACGTTCTTCTTGAAGAAAGAACCTTTCTTCGTGGATGGTGACGGTGAAGCATGAGATTCTGTAAAATTTTGTTGTTGCTGTACCTCCGACGCTTGAGATGTAGTAATTTGCGAACGATTGTCGCAATGTTGAGATGTCAAAGGCCCATGGTCTCCTGCATTCGATGTGGGAGGCATTGCTGAAAAAAATAGTGAGAAAAATACTTATATAAAGAGCATTTCAATAGACGAAATTAAAATTAACAAGATAATTTTAGTACAGTAGACTTCCGATTAACCGGAATTCTCGATTATTTTTCGGTAAATTCGCTGATATATTAATAGACATTTTTGAAATTATTTTCTACACTATTATTATTTTATACATGTAATCCAATTATCCGAGATATAAAAGTCATATAAAAGTTCATAAAAACTCACCCATTGATTGTCTCCTTTGTAACGGCGCTCGACCAAGTTGCGCCGGAGTCGGCGCTAGCATAAAAGGACCCTTGCTCGGCCCTACGTCGTTAGATTGGGATTCATCCATAGAATACGATTTATTCGTAGGAATATCATTACCACCATGATTACTTAGAGGTGTGTGAGGAGTATGCGGAGTAGACGGTTGTTTGTGTTTATCATTCGTGGCAGGCAGAAGAATATTCACTGTGTCTTTCCTTTCTTTCTCTGATTTCACATTAGTTACTGAAAAGAAGAAACAGATAAGATTTATCAATTCAATAAGTTCTACTAGATATGAGCTCGGTTAATCGGTTACCAAGCGAAGAAAATGTTTAATAATTTACCATAAAATTTGGCATGGTTGTTTCCTATCTGGTTCTCGTTTTTTTCGGAGTCGGCGAGACGTGTTATAGGATGACTCATTCCACGATAAGTCGACGTGGTGGATGATGTCGAAACTGGATAAGGTTTGCTCACTATAACACTTTGTGTTTCCATCTTATTACCAGAAATTAAACCTTGTGACGATATGTTGCGATTGCCGGCGTCTGTAATGAACATATTTTCGTAATTTAAAGAATTAAAAAGATAATAATAAAATATTGCAAACCATAGTAAGAAAGGTGAAATCAACAAGAAATGTTGTATCCACTTACCAGAGATAGGTATGTGGAACCCTGGAACAGTACAGTACATCCTGGGATGAGGTGGCGTTGGACCGAGATACTGCGATCCCTGCTGCGGTTTGGAAACAGCCACCAAATCGTTATCGAGAAATGTTAGAGTGAACGATGGTTGGTAAGGGACAGCTGAAGTAAGGGGGCGAAGAATAGTGCCTAAAGACTGCAACGGCTGCTGTCAGTTAAACAGAGCCATCATACGTTTTGATTCCAATCTGTCAGTATCATGTTAAACTTTTCATAGTTTAATTTCTTTTGAGCTTATTCGCATGTGTTTACGTTAGAACACTTTAGAGACAATCTTAAAGTTCGCTGTTCCCTCAATTCAGGTTTTAATATTGTTAAGAAAAAATTAAAAAAGAAAAATAATATTGCAGCGAGATAAGTAGGCACGTGCGAATAGCACTCGGATTAAGGATGTATTGACTATACAGTCAATCCCAAAAGTTTATGAATCTTAGAAAAACGCATTTCCTATAGTTAAAAAGAAATCAGACCTCGGAAGAACAATGCTAATAATAAATAGCTACGTGCTAAAAAGTATAG